TGCCACTTTCAACCAACTGCGTAGACTCGCTTGCACACCTCTCGTTTTTCTTCCCTTGGGTGGAAAAGGAAGGGGGTGGAAGAGAGAGGAGAGGCAAGGAGTGAGTAAGGGCAGTTGGAGAGGAGAGAGGGGAAAGAGAAGATGGTGATTGGGAAGTGTAGAAAAGATATAAAGGAAAATGGTGAAGGTGAGGAAGGGATGGAGAAATGAGGTAGGAGAGGGTGAGTGGGAGATGGAAATGGGGAAAGGAGAGGGCAAGAGGGAAATGAAGGGAGGGGGAAAGCGTGAGGGTGGGATAAGGGAGAGTGTAATAGGAGAGAAGAGGAGGAAGGAGAGAGTAAAAGGAAAGCAGAAAGAGAGGATAAGAAGAGGATATGAGAGAGAAAACAAGGAGGACAGAGAAAGAGTGAGGAGGGACTAGAAATCCAGGAATTGTATATAAGATTGTTTTCTCCTTTGAGGCGCGTGGATGTCTTCTCCTTTGACTATCTGCTACAATTACCTCTCCGACTCCCTCCTTCAGGCTTACTCTCATGTCTTTGCTACCGATTGACAGTACTCTTACTCTACTGTGGTATAAAAAAATGAGTCACCTTTACAATGTACATATTAGAAGGACAGACATGCAATTATGAAAATCCATTTACAATGATTCTTTTCCTCCTATCAGCTATGTCTCTCTTTTCACGTTTTCTCTCGTCATTTCTATTTCTCCTTTTCTCTCTCGTCTCTTATCCCAATTTCCCCTTTCTGTCTCTGTCTTATCTTATCTTTCAATCTCTCTTTCTCTCCTCTTATCACCATCTCACCTTTCTTCTTACACTACCGTCCCCTTTCCCCCCGAACTGAGCCTCTCCTTGTGTTGAGGAGGGCGGGTCGCGTACTTTGAGGACCCGAAGAGCGAAGTCAGGAAGGATTCGGCTAAGGTATGATTATAATTGTGTATGTGATAGAAGAGCTTGGAATGAGGTAAGATTCCTGGTGAAGCAGGAGGATTGTAAAGATTTGCTAAGCGTGTCGAAAGGTTTGATTGGAGATTGCGGAAAAGAGAGATCCGGGGAAGTTTATTATGTCACTTCCACTGAAGCGCAGGCTACACAATGCTTCTGTTAATAAAACCAATGTGTCCCCGCGTGAAAGACCCTATACAACAGACATAATACCTGCCGGTAAATTTGGATCTTCCATTACTCGGGGACTAGATGACCCACTGCCCAGATTGATTGCACTGGTACAAATTACACTCAGGTGCTCAAGCAAGGACCGGGACAAAACATAGCAGAGGAATCCCCACAAAGGAAACGAGAGTAGAATGGCGATTTAGGTTATGCGCTCTGCCGCATGTCACCGTTGTGTTTTGTTTGCGAACTGTCATTGTCTATAGTTTATTTTTTATCTGTTTTAGCTTTATAGGGTTGTGTAGCGTAAAGGCTAGAAGCGTTATCGTGGCAAAAAGGAAGACTAGAGGTTTCGCTGGCTTCCCTCCAGTCTGTGTAAAGCGTAAGAACCGCCTGTTGCGATGGCGCTCTCTGGTCTGCATGTATGACGTGAGAGTTGGTGTGGCCGAATGTGTTTGTGTGATTATAATTATATAAGAAATGCTAACCCAGGGTATTTATGATGTTGATTCCTTGGCTGAAGAATGTAGTGATTATGATGGAGATATACTGAAGATATTATCAATAATGAAAATACTAATACTACCAGTACTACTAGTACTACAACTAATACTAATGATGATTATTATTATGAACTTATTCAACAGATCAGGCAGTTGTAAATGGTTTGCCTTTTTCAAGTCTATTACAAGATAGCCGATAACGAGTTTTGACGCTTTTTACAAGCCTAGCATCTTTGTTCGATCATCTGGTTGCTTGAAGCTTGGAAGTTCGGAACAGTGAGCGAGACCTTGCGACTGGCTGGCTGAAATGCATTGCGATAAGGAAACGGTTGTCTGTTGTTCTATTCATGGCAAGAAAATTTTATTACTAATTTCTATGTGAAGAAGAAAAAGTTTGATTCACACATAGCATCCCTAAGGAAGTGCCATTACATCAGTAAAATCAGTAGGAATGCAAACAATAACAATAAACTCTCTAACCGACTCGTCACTCTCAAAACAAACAAAACAAAAGATGAAAAACAAAAACATTTAGCTAAGTGAAATCTCATTGAATCTTTTCCAACAACAGTCTTACAAGAGAAATTCTCCCCTCGGGTTTATTTAACTTCAGTAAAGACCCAGGAGCACATCACGCAGTAAGTAATCAGACATCTCATTAATGCAAAAGGTCAAGAACCAGGTTATACTGTAAGGCTAATTACTAAAGCGAGCATTGCCGTAATTAATCATGCACTTCGCTGATGAGAATGACAACCGCTTGAGTGTCTATTCATTGAGTCTTTTTCTAGGTATGTGAAAAAAGGGAAATGATAAGTAAGATTCCTCTATTTTTTACTGGTAAAAGACACAATGCAACCAGTATCTAACAGTGCAGAT